ACTGCTAGGTTGGCAGGAGTTGGGACAAGCGACAGGGGCTCACTCCGTCGCGTGGATTCGATCCTACAACTGCTGGTCTTCTGACCTTGCAGCACAGAGGCTTCTGTGGTTTAACCCGCAGCGCCACCACGTCCCTTCCTGTCTCTTGGGGAATATTAAAAAAAAAAGACCACAATATTCACTAGGCCCTGAATTTCAAACTTGCTGTGGGTAGGTATCTCAGAAGACTCATAGTACCTCTGTAGCGCATTTTCTTAATCTGATCCAGGACCAATTCTGGATCTTCAGCTATATCGTCAAGGATGTCAACAATGATTTTGGGCTGGCTGGCATAAGAGATGATGGCGAACTTGATGGGCACATCAAAGCTGGCAATCTGAGAGGAAGAAGAGCAGAGAGAAGCACCACAGGAAAGGCAAAAAGTAAACAGGAAAAGTGATCTAAAATTGTCTTGAAATCATGCAACTTCTTTTCTTTTACCCATCCCACAATGCTGTATCAATATGGTCATGCAGCTTAAAAAGAAACTCCTCTAAGCTCTGGAATCAAGAGATTCAAGATTAAAACCCTCCTGCCATTTCTGAAACCACAAGCATATTCAGTGTTGCATTTCTGTACTAGCAAATACTTATTACCTTGGTTGGGTAATCTTTTTATTTGTCTTTCACAGAAAAAATCATTAGCCGGTTTTGGCAAAGAACTCTTTTTTTTGGAACATGTTCAGCAAATCAGTAGTCTTTAAATCATTTGCCGCCAGGTTACTGCTCCACCAACTTCAACACATCTGAACATCTGGTAGGGAAACTGGATATACATTTGGCATGTTTTGCATTGTCTTTTCACTTCATGTGAAGTATAGGCCAGGCCAGGTGGGCCTCAGAGTAGCCTTTTCTGAATTGTCGCAGAATTCTAATAATTGTGTGTGCTCTGATAATCTTGTTTTTCGGGAAAGACTGGTTTCTCATATTCAACCACTTTATAGAAAAGGAGGGCAAACATTAGGCTTTAAAGGTCTCCTTTGTTTTCAGCTAGAACGCTGAGACCTAGAAGCTAATAATAATAATTGTGGGCCGACGAGTCAACTTTTAGCAACTCTTTTTGGGGTTTTTCAGATAGAGAGTACTCTGAAGTTGTTTACTACAGTTGTGCCTCGCTGGATGATGATAATCCGTTCCACTGAAATTGCTGTTTAGCGAAATCATTGTCTAGCGAAAAGCATTTCCCCATTGGAATGCATTGAAACCTGTTTAATGCATTCCAATGGGGAAGAATCGTCGCTGTCTAGCAAAGATTGGCCATAGGAAAGCCGCTTTGCAAACCGCCGATCAGCTATTTAAATAGCTGTTTTGCGAAGCTTAGGTCTTCAAAACACCCGTTTTGCGAGCACAGAGAGAGCTGTCAAAATCACTGTCTAGCAAAAATTGGTTTGCGAAGCAGGGACCAAACATTGTCCAGCGAAATTCCCCCATAGGAATCACTGTTTTGAGAATCACTATAGCAATCGCAAAAAGTCAATGTCTAGCGAAAAAAACTGTCATGCAGGGTAACTGTCTAGCGAGGCACCACTGTATTCCCTTTTTGGGGGTGTCCCGGGTCTGTGCAGCTTGTCCAAGGCTACATGGGCTGGTTCTTTTCCTAGGAAGCACAGCGAGGAATCAAACTCCCGATGTTTGGCTCTATAGCCAGACATCTAAACCTAAAGCTATCCAGCCACCTAGAAACTAAAGCTCATTTCAAAGATGAGATGTTGAGAACGAAAAATTTATAAGATTAGGAATTTGTTTTGAGATCCAGATCTAAACAAAATTCACAGTTCTTCCACCCAAAAATCAGCTTCTGGTCACTTCCAGTACCTTCAACGTCATTAGATTTAATTCTACAATATATGGGAGGGAGGTGCCATTTGGTTATTGCCAGTTAAATAAGTGGGAGTTAAAGGTTCTTGGTGGTTTACTTCAAGTGTATCAGAGATCTACCAGCAGAGCCCAATCCACTTTCTGCCCCCTCTTGCATTATAACTCTTTCAGCAGTTAGCTGGAAGCAGAATTAAAAGAGTGGCTGTAGACAGTTCTTAAACAACACACCATCTAATCTAGTAATGTCCATCTGCACACACAACACCATTCTATAATACTTATTTACAACTCCTCCTCCTTTAACCACTGTCCTTTACTGCATAAAATAAACATGACTTTAAAAATAGCTTCCATTCCCAGTGTATGGCTGTGAGTATCCTGGCAAATAATACGGGATTTACTGAGGAAGTAGAATAGATGAATTCATTCATTGTTTTAAATGATTACACAACACAAAGGCCAACATGAATCAGTTGGGTGTGGTTTTTTTGTTTTTGTTTTTTTTGCTTCTCAAATTTAGGTTCTAACCCCCACCCCCACCATTGGGGGCTTCTACTTTATTTAAAATAGACGAATTTGAATGGTGTTTCCCCTGTTTGATCAGTTCCAAAATGACCGGGGGGGGGGGGGTGAGTGTGACTGTGGAAGGCACTCTGGCAACATACTAAGCTGGTGTGATGTTTTAGCCAGCAGGAACATCCCCCCCCACAGTCCTCCTCCCAAGTTGCCCCAAAGTGTCTTCAATTTTTAAAGAAGAAACCACTGAGTTTTAAGTAAACGACTGAATTCAATTTTGAGTTTGTTTTGTTGTTGTAAATAAATAAATAAATAAATTTTAAGTAAACAACTGAGTTCAGTTTTGAGTTTGTTTTGTTGTTGCCTTAGGTGTGGTTTTGCTGATTTTTATTATTTGTGGATTTATGCTGTGGGTGGGTTAACATTTTTAATCTCCTTATTGTTATTAGGCACCCATATGGGTTGGAGATGTAATAACTAAATAACTAAACAAACAAACAAATTTAGGTGTTCTTTTGCTGATTTTTATTATTTGTGGATTTATGTTGTGGGTGGGTTATCATTTTTATTCTCTTTATTGGAGAATATGGGATGGAAATATAATAATTAACTAAATAACTTAAAAAACAAATAAATTTAGCATTAGATCACCTTATCACTGCATTGATACATTAGTTTAGCACTAGATCACCTCTGCACAGACAAAAAGAGAGAGAGAGCGATAATAAACAACATGCAATAGAAATAGAATATGAAATGGAAACAGCTCCAGCAAACCACCTCAGACTACTATGTGACCATATATTTATATGTTACGGAGAACTGTGCGAAACGGTTCCTTTTGCCTAACGCTTTGCAACATTTCAAACAGCTCACTGGCTTTGCAATAAACCATGAAAGGAGAGGGTGAGGTCTAAGGAACTGGGGCTGTGTAGCAGATCAAACCACACTGGATTGAGGGGCCAGTGTGGTCACTGCCTCCAAAACCATTCATAGTCTCCATTCTCCGTGGGATCACCTGATCCAAAGAGAGAAGTGTAAAAGAGGCTGTGAATCAAGCCGCAGCAAAGCTGAATCACTGCGACTTTGCTTTCTGGTGTAGTCCCTGCCTGCAGGTGACCCGCGATGGTGTCATCTAAGTTCCATCACTAGCCAATCTAGCTGACAGCCGCTATTCCATGAACAAGCCTCTTACCCTGTTGATGATAATTTGCAGGCATTCTTTAAAAATGTCGAAGTTGGCTTCGGTGACACTGTGAGAGGCATCCACAAGCAAGTAGAGGTAGAGAAAACCATCTTTAGTCAGGATGAGCCTTCGTCCCAAATTTGGAGCTGGCACAGGGAAGGGAAAAAGGACGATTTGTAGCCATCTTGCTAAAAGCATGGATGCTGGAGTCGAGAGGCCTCTCCTTTGACCCAGCATGTTTGCTCCCTCGTAATTCCCAGAACTTGGACTGTTAAGTGCAAAAAGACCTAAATGGCTAAGATTTTAGGCAGAGGAGCCCCAAAACCAATATAGTTTAGATCAACAGTAGTGCACGAATTTTTTTTACTGATTAACCTATGTATTATAATGAACAGTAAGTCATTAGCTGGTATTAAAGGAACTGCTAGAAGAAAGTGACATATGTTAAATGTGATTGGTGCTGTTCCTCTTTGTGGCATCCAGCTATCTCTTCTTTCAAATTGGTTTTTAATGGCTTAGATTGTCTTCCTCAGCCCAGTATTTTTCATGTGCTTTGGACTACAAATCCCATCATTAAACTACTGTAACAGAATGCTGACATTACTATGATCTGATCCTCCTTCTTTTCCTAGCCACACAAACTGTTTCGATACCTAATTCATCTAATACGCCTAAATATACAGTATTAAAGTTGTGGGTTAATTTTAAATGAATTCAATCGTTTATCATGGTATCCACTTCCAAGTAAGTATGATGAAATCAGTTCTAAGTAAGCCCTTAGAATTGTGTCTGTCCCTTGTTAGGGGAAAAAATGAAAAGAATAGTCTCATTAATTAAATAATAATAATTTGTTTTGTTTCCCAGGGTCTTGATTGCCCTCCCTTTAAATCCATGGCAGACGGCAAAAATCAAGAAATAAACCAGGGTCTCCTAATACGTTGCCTGATCTGATCCTCCTTCTTTTCCTAGCCACACAAACTGTTTCGATACCTAATTCATCTAATACGCCTAAATATACAGTATTAAAGTTGTGGGTTAATTTTAAATGAATTCAATCTTTTATCATGGTATCCACTTCCAAGTAAGTATGATAAAATCAGTTCTAAGTAAGCCGTTAGAATTGTGTCTGTCCCTTGTTAGGGAAAGAAATGAAAAGAATAGTCTCATTAATTAAATAATAATAATAATTTGTTTTGTTTCCCAGGGTCTTGATTGCCCTCCCTTTAAATCCATGGCAGACGGCAAAAATCAAGAAATAAACCTAGTATGTTGCTTCTGCCCTAGCTCTTCCTTTTGATGTAAGGAGCAGGATTCTAGGGCTGCTGCATTGCAAGCAGGAAACAGAATAAAAGGAAGGAGAAATCCTGCCTTCAGAGTCAGAAGTTAAACACGCCAACAACAACAATATCAGTTTTCTTGTATCAGAAGATCTCAGGGTGAATTACAGACAGTCAATAGTTCTAAAGCAATGACAAGTGTCAAACTGTTTCGAATGATCCAAAATTATTTAAAACTACACAGACTGTAAGAGAAACCCAGAACACAGTCAGGCCATCTTCCTTAATCACTAGCTCTCCAAAGCTTCAGAGAGGAGCCCAATTTTAACTTGGCAATGGAATGAGGCCAAAATTGATGCCAACGGAGCCTCTGCCCTGCAGCACAGGCTTCTGCGGTTTAGCCCACAGCGCCACCACGTCCCTAAAGTTTCAGAGAAGAGCCTAATTTTAACTTTGCAGTGGAATGAGGCCAAAACTGATGCCAACGGAGCCTCCAAAGGAAGAGCCATCCACAACCATGGGGTACGACCAGAGAAGGCCCTCCCTAGTGTCTTCATATAATGTGTTGCTTGCACTGATGGGCCACCGAAGAGGAGGCGCTCCTTCAAGTATCAAGGTCTCAGGCTACTCAAATGTCACCACCAGCATCTCAAATCCAGACCACTAGTGCATCTCCTCTGGGTCAGTGTCATGTGGGCTGTATGACGTATACCTGCTGGCAGTGTGACTGCCACATATCATAGAAGCTGCAACCTTCATGTCATGTCGTCTTCACAACAGTTTAGCAGTGAAGACAGGCTAAACTCTGATTATGGCTCAGATTTAAGTCCTTCCTAGAAAAAAAGGCCTAGTGAACATTTGACTCTGGCTCAAGTTGACATTAAGATGATTTTTTTTTTTAGATTTCTGTCCAGACTCTGCTCTGGGGACCTCTAGTAACTCCGTCCACCAAAGCAAGGTCAGAATGTGGAGGGTCTCAGACCTACCTTGAGATGACCCAGAAGGGTCAGGCCCAGATGATGATACCTCTGTCAGAACATTGGTGAACGAGGCTCCAAATTCAGCTCTAACATCTTCAGCCTCATCATAAGAATAGGGGGCTGTACGAAAGAAGAAAAGCAACAGACGCTCCGGTCATTGCAAGAAAGAGATTGGAGATGTAAAGGGACTGAAGAGATGGTGGGTGGGTTATTTGAGGAAGAAATGGAGTCTAGTTGATTAGGGTCAGCAAGCAGTTGGATGGAGGGGAGACACACATGCCAGGTTGGTATGATCAGCTCGGGTCAGAAAAAGAGGGGCTGAAATTGCAGAGTCCCCTAGATCAGTGGTCCCCAACCTTGGGGCTCCAGATGTTCTTAGACTACAACCCCCAGAAGCCTTCACCATCACTTCTGCTGCCCAGGATTTCTGGGAGTTGAAGTCCATCTGGAGGCCCAAGTTTGGGGACCACTAACCTAGATCTCTCTGGAGACCAAGCACAGACAAGGTCATCAATATTTAGGTGGTCCCATCAGGCAGAAGATCCGGGAAACAGACGAGGACAAGGGTTGGAATTGCGCAGGAAGACTTCCAAACGGGGTGGTACTCGTGGTGTGTCGACGTGCTTGAAAGGATGTACTGTAGATGCACTAGTGTGTATGTGTGTGTGCCCCTGCCCTTTGGGATCTGCTTGAGGCCACAAAGTGCCTTTATTGATTTTATTTTCAAAATGGAAAGGCTGCCTTTCATCCTGCTATCGTTACAGTAGGTGTATCACCATAAAAAGTAAATATCATTTGCAAAAGCAGTGCACCATCACAAGAGTAAACATAATAAAGAGAAATTTGCCATCCCTCTCATATAAACATAAACATGAAAGTTAACAGAACCGTAGAACAGCTGACAGGGGCAGTAAAACCATCAGTTCAGAAATGCCTCTGTCTGGCATGAGCCGCTCTGCTAGTCTCTGAACTGATGGTTGACGAGAACTTCAGTCAAACTTCCTGACGGTCAGGATGTTCCAAAGTTCTTCTTAGGATCTTCCCAGGACTGATATTGGAGCGCTGAGGGGGTCAGTCCTGCCAATAGGCATAATGAGGTGGCAGCCTGCAGTGGCTGCCAAAAATGGACAGCAGACTCTGGGCTATTTAATTTGTTGTTATTCTATTTTTGTTGTCAAGGATAGAACAAAGTGCTTGTGTGGTTTTCGGCTTACATGCAGCTTGTTTTGGGGATAGGAGAGCTGCCCTTTGTTGCCAGGCCTCAGGCAGCAAAGTGTTTCGGTCCAGCCGCGGACACCTGGGATTGCTAGATTAGTGGAAAAAAAAGCAGTACTTGCACTTCGTCACAATGACAAAAAGAGATACTGTATTTCCCAAGAACAGATAAGAAGTTAAGTCCTGTGGACAGAGCAAATAGCGATGCACTATTTCAATAATCTCCCTGTGCAAAGTGGACTTGAAACGCAAAAGAAGCAAGGGAAACTGAAAATAAGAGTAGACAAAGGTTCCATTTGAAAAAGCTTGAGGGAAAAGGTAAGTTTAAAAGGCCAGGGTTGAGAGAGTATTTATGTAGCCGTGTGAATATCTGGGGGAAGGGAATTTCAGAAGAGAGGTAGAAGGGACATGATCAGATCCTGTAAAGCAGCCTTCCAGGTGTTTTGGACCAGCCATCCTCAACAGGGGCCATATGGTCCCCTGCCCCCCCCGGCACATTTGAAGGGGGCCACAGATTGGAAACAATTCTTCACACACCACCATATTATGCAACGTACACAATCCTGATTCGCCCCATATCTCTTTCATATGTATTGTGTCTATGGCCATGCCCAAAAAAATGGTTGAGAATGGTTGCTTTGGACTACCACATGTTTGCTGGCGGCAAATCATGGGAGTTGTAGTCCAATTAATGAAGAGGGACAGGAAGATGAAGTGGAAATAACAAGAAGGAACATATCTGGAAGTTGAGTCATGGCAACTGGACTTCTTTCTTATTAGGTTGAAACGTTTCGCTACTCATACTTCTGCACACAACAAGAAAAATGGAAACATGGAACAGAGAAGCAAGAAACGTATTATCATTGTCATCATCACTGTCATCATCCCTATTGATACCCCACCTTTGCACTAAAAGATAGCACTCAAGGCAGGTTACAGATTTACCAGTAAAAGTAGGAGGAATACCTGTACAATGGAGCCTTGACTTACAGACGGCTTGACTTACAGACTTTTTGAGTTACAGACTTCTCTGGCCGCAAAATTTAGGTTTGACTTGCAGCCTGAGAATTGACTTACAGACCAGAAAAAAACCAAAATGGAACAAAAACGGCCTGTTACGGGATTAATCAGTTTTCAATGCACTGTAGGTCAATGGAGACTTGACCTACAGACTTTTTGACTTGAGAACCGCCTTCCAATACGGATTAAGTTCTCAAGTCAAGACCCCACTGTATTCCATCCCAGGTAGCTGGCTCAAGATTTGCTTAGCCCTCCATCCTTGCAAGAATGGTAAGCTCACACGGGGTGGTCAATGTGCAGGCTTTAAGCACTATGGGGCGGTATATAAGTAGCATGCCTTATAATGAACATGAAAACAGTAGATGGGGGAGCGGTGGACTCCCAGTCTTAGAAGGGTCTTGGAAGTAAGCTACTCTACAAGTTTTTAACTGTTGACTTTCAAGATGTTTGGGTTTCATCTCCCAGCCACCATGGTCAATGGTCAGGAATTCTGGGAGCTGAAGTCGAAAATATTTAGAAGGCCACCGTGTGTTGCAGGCTCACCCCCCAAGAGGACAGGGGAGGCCGTAAAGCTTACCTCTGCAACTGACCTCGGCTCCTGACCATTCACCTTCTGGAGTGCAGACACGCTGGGCGGACCCTACCAAGTCCAAGCCATTCTGGCACTGAAAGGAGACTCGATCACCAAGTTGGTTACGCACCCCAGAAACAATCGCCCCTGGCGGGATGGCAAGACTGCGGCAGTGCCCCACTGAAGAGGGAACAGGACAAAAAAATCCATCAATCTGAGAAGAAGCCACAGAAACATTTGAAAAGAAGAAGCTGCTTTCTACTAAGTCAGGTCACTGGTCCATCTAATCCACTAATCCTCTGACCGACAGCCAAGACTCTGCAGGAGTGGTTCCCAACCTTGGGTCACTGGATGTTCTTGGACTAAAACTCCCAGAAACCTTTACTGCTAGCTGTGCTGGCCAGGATTTCTGGAAGTCCAAAAACACCTTGGGACCCAGGACTGGGAACCACTGCTCTGCAGGGTTTTCTTTCTTCTGCCTAACCAACGAGGTACTTTGGTACTCCCTAAGGTTCCCCTTGACAATTTTTGTCCAGTTGTGTCCGACTCTAGGGGGCGGCGCTCATCCCGCTCTTCAAGCCATAGAGCCAGCGTTTGTCCGAAGACAATCTTTCCGTGGTCACATGGCCAGTGTGATTTAGACACGGAACGCTGTTTACCTTCCCACCGAGGTGGTCCCTATTTATCTACTCGCATTTGCATGCTTTCGAACCGCTAGGGTGGCGGGAGCTGGGACAAGCGACGGGTGCTCATTCCGTTGCGTGGATTCGATCTTACGACTGCCGGATCTTCTGACCCTGCAGCAAAGGTTTCTGCGGTTTAGCCCACAGCGCCACCACGTCCCTCTGGTACTCCCTGGTGGCCTCCCAAGTATTAACCAGGAGCCATCCTGCTTAGCTTACACAATGAAATAAAATCTAGTGTGTTTGTAGGATGGTATGACCAGGCAATTTGCAACCATACCTCTCCACAAGCAAAGCAAAGCACTCCCTACAACAAATTACAGTGGTGCCTCGCTTAACGAGGATAATCCGTTCCAGCGAAATCGCTGTAGAACGAAATCCTCGTTAAGTGAAATAAAAAAGCACATTGAAACACAATGAAAACCATTCAATGCGTTCCAATGGGCTGAAAACTCACTGTCCAGCGAAGATCCTCCATAGGAGCGGCCATTTTCGCTGCCTGCAAAGCGAAGAATCCATCCTAGAAAACAGTGTGGGGCCATTTTGTACACCCAGCGACCATTTTGAAACCCGACGATCAGCTGTTTTTAGATCGTCGTAATGCGAAAATCGGTTCCCGAGGCAGTGAACCGATCATTGTGAAATGGATTTTTCCCATTTAAACCATCGTTTTGCTATCACTTTTGCGATTGCAAAAACCTAATCATCAAGTGATTTCCTCATTAAGCGAGGCACCACTGTACATGGATTAGACCCAGTTAGAGTGAGCATGGAACATTTTACAGTAGTCTCCAACCTTGAGTAGCTATGGTTTCTGGGAATGGTAGGCCAAGAACACCTGGATTATTCAAGGTTGGGAACCACTGCTCTAGCACAAGAGGTGAAAATGTTTGTAACTAATTTGTTAACTGCTAGCTCCTTGGATCCTTTCAAAGAGAAAGGGCGGGTAAAAATACTTAGAATAAATAAATAAAATATTGATACTGAAGAAGAACCTGCGGAGGCTTGGGTGCATTCTTTTTAAAGTACAGTGGTGCCTCACAAGACGGGCGCCCCATTTAACAACGAAACCGCATTACGACGAACTTTTTGCGATCGCAAAAGCAATTGCTTTACAATGCTTTCAATGGGGGAATTTCGCTTTGCGATGATCGGTTCCCTGCTTTGGGAACCGATTCTCGCAAAACGATGATTTTAAAACAGCTGATCAGCGGTTTCAAAATGGCCGCTGGGTAAAAAAAATGGCTCCTCACTCTTTTCTGGGATGGATTCCTCGCTGCACAGGCAACGAAAATGGCCGCCCTATGGAGGATCTTCGCTGGACGGAGAGATTCAAGCCCCTAGGAACGCATTAATCGGGTTTTAATGCATTTCCATGGGCTTTTTAATTTCACATTACGACATTTTCGTTCTACAGTTATTTCACTGGAACGAATTAATGTCGTAATGCAAGGCACCACTGTATAATGCATGCAAAGCCCACAAGAACCATTTCATTCTTCCCCAAGATGACAAATTACTGCTTTAGAGGTGGTTTAAAATGAAAGCCAGCTAGGATTCACCTCCATCATCACAAACTGGGGAGGTTCCATTCCAGCGTCCATTGGGTAGGCAGTGCCGCTGAGATGAGCCAAGCAGCTGGTAACCATCAAAGCATTCAAAGCTCAAGATGTCACCCACTGGATGTGCGCTTCGTCGTGGGCTGAACGAACCATGTTCGAAGGCTCTCTGTGGAGGGCAGCGTACGACTGCAAAGGAGAGAACGGGGATGAAAACAATCTTAATAGCAATGTCGTTTGGGCGTAGAAGTCAGAGAATGGTGAAGTTGGGTGGCTTCTCTGTTAACTGTTTATTTATTTATTTTTATTTTATTTATTTTATTTATATCCCGCCTATCTAGTCGATTAAGACCACTCTAGGCGGCTGTTGTCTGAACACTCTGCATGGACATCCTTCATTATCTAGCCAGCCCTTCCCAATGACTCAAATCTTTCAATAATGTTCGCTCGCAAATAAAACCATTTATGTCAAATCAATTAACAGTTTCCTCTTTCAGGCTGTGTTCATTTTCTTCCTTGTTGTTGAGGGAGGGAAAAAAGGAAGATTAGCGGTGAATGGCATCTTACGAGTCAGCTTCCATTTGTGATCCGGGCAATGTCTTCATGCTTTACCTGCATGCCTGCCTTCCAGCATAAAAATGGAGGAACAGAAAATTAAATTCAGACAAAGGAGGAGCGACAACTGGAGGAAGAAACAAATTATTTGAGACACACAAATCAACCATATTATTAGCACAAAATAGCAGTGTTCTGAAATGAATGCCAATGAAAATTAAAAACAAAAGAGCAAAAGCCAGATTATAGTTGCATTTTATAACACTAGTGACATTTTCTATAGCTTGCTTCAGTTAAAAACCTATAGTTATAATTTAAATTAACTTCTAAATTAAAATTTTAAACAGACTCATGACAACCCTGTGAATGAACAATTGCCAAACTCTCCTGTCTCAACTCTTGTGAACTCAAGCCTGTGGTTGACCTTGTAGGACCCACTTGTTTGTCTTTCTGGCAATCCAGGATATCTACAAAGCTCTCATCCAGCACATTTCTAATGAATCAAATTTTTTCCTGTCACCTTTCTTCACTGTCTAGGGCTTCAAAAAACCTTTTGTTTCTTCTCTCTCCTTCTCCACCAGATGCAACAAGTTTTCTCGAGATCATGAAGTATTTTAAACAAAGAGACAACTTAAGCCATCCGCTTTGGTTCAGTTCCAGAGATCACACACACACACACACACACACACACACACACACACACACACACACACAGAGAGAGAGAGAGAGAGAGAGAGAGAGAGAGAGAGAGAGAGAGATACTGTAATCATCCCAGCAGGGAGAAAAAAACCACCAACCCCCGACAGGGAGCTAAAATTAGTTTTATTATTTATTTATTTTTTAATTTATATCCCGCCCATCTAGACCGAAGTCTACTCTGGGCGGCTAAGAGCAATTCATAAAATAATAAAAATATAAAATAAAACAACAGCATTAATACGATTGAAGATGGCAATAAATAAATTAAATATTGACTAGGAGGGAACGCCTGCCTAAAGAGCCAGGTCTTAAGTTTGCTCTTAAAAACACCCAGCGAGGGAGCCAGACAGATCTCTGGGGGGGGGGGAGATTGTTTCAGAGGCGAGGGGCCACTGCCAAGAAGGCTCAGTTTCTTGTTCTTTCTCTTCGGGCCTCCTTCGGCGTTAGGCCCCTCAGCTGCCCTTCCTGGCTAGAACAATCTAGGTAGGAGAAGACGTTCCAATAGATATCGAGGACCTAAACCGTTTAGGGCTTTATATGTCATCATTAATACTTTGAAATCAATGCAAAAATGTACGGGCAGCCAATGCAGGGCAGCCAGAGTGGGGAAAATATGTTGATGTTTTCTCACCCGGGTGAGAAGTCTGGCCGCTGTGTTCTGCACCATTTGAAGTTTCCATATCAGTCTCAAAGGTAGCCCCACGTAGAGCGCATTACAGTGGTCTAATCTCGAGATTATGAGCGCATGGACCAGAGTGGCGAACGCCCCACCATCAAGATAGGGACACAGCCGGGCAATCCGCCAAAGATTGACACTACCTATGGGGTTTCCATAGTAAGCACCGGATCCAGATGGACCCCCAAACAGCGAACCTCACTCTTTGTGGTGAGAGTCACTCCCCCAAAATTTGAGGGAGTCTCCAAAACCACCAATGGCAGGGCCACCCACCCTCAGGACCTCCATCTTGTCCTGGTTCAGCCTCAGTCCATTCACCTGCATCCATTTCAATACGGCCTCCAGGCAGCGCTGAAGGGACGAAAAAGCATCCACTGTTGTTGGGAAAAAGGAGATGTAGAGCTGGGTGTCATCAGCGTACTGATGGCACAAGGCTCCACACCCCCTGATTACCCCACCCAGTGGCCTCATGTAGATATTAAACAGCATTGGGGAGATAATTGAGCCCTGCAGAACCCCACAATTGAGACTCCACGGGGCCGAGACACTCTCCCCAAGCTGGACTCTCTGAGGACGGCCCTCCAAGAAGGATCGGAGTCAGGCAAGCGCCAGGCCACCGATTCCCAACTTGGAGAACCTTTCCAAGAAGATACCCCGTCGTTGACGGTATCAAAGGCAGATGAGATATCGAGGAGGACCAGCAGAGACATTTTGTCCCTGTTGGCCTCCCTCAGCAGGTCATCAAACAGGGTGACCAATGCCGTTTCTGTTCTGTGGCATGGCCTGAAGCCCAGCTGGAATGGATGCCAGTGCAGGTAGGCATGGATCAATGACTAGTTGGCTCACAATGGCACGTATTTCATGTGGTTAACAGGAAAAGGAACGAGCCAGCCTGTTCCCACAGCAGACCAAACCGTGGGACAAAACTCCATCTAGTCACATCCTCAAGTTACCTAAAGCCTGCCTGAACAGAAACGGTCATTCCCACACACCACTAAAAAGCAGATACGTAAAACAAAATTACAACGGCAGGATGTTTCCCTATGGGGCAAATGGAGGTCCATGAGTAGCACTGGTGTAGGGCAGTGGTTCCCAACCTTGTATCCCCAGATGTTCTTGGACTGCAACTCCCAGAATCCTTCGCCACCAGATACGCTGGCAAGGGCTTCTGGGAGCTACAGTCCAAGAATGTCTGGGAAGCCAAGGCTGGGAATCAGGGGTGTAGGGGGCAGCTATTGGAGCCGGGGCAGCTATCCAGAAATACTAGGAACTGATGTCTGGCCTGATGCCAGGGGCTTAAAGTGGCCTTTTCCTGTACCTCAAATCCCTTATTGCTGTAGATCCTCTAACCCAGGGGTCTCCAACCTTTTTGGGGCTGTGGACCAGCTGGGGGGAGCAACCTCCATGTGCTGGGGGGCGGGGCACCCCCAGGTGAATGTGCATGAGTGCGAGCGCAACACCCCCCCAGCGTGACATAATCTCCACGAGCATGACACCCACCCCGCGTGAGCGGGACATGGCCACTGTGCGAGCATGACACACACCCTGTGTGAGCATGATACACCCTCCCGCAGGTGCAACATGCCCCCTGCAAGTGTGACATGCCCACCGCGCATGCATGCAGGGGGGCGGAGATCCGTACCTTTTTGGGGCTGTGGACCAGCTGGGGGAAGCAACTTCCATGTGCTGGGGTGGGGCCGGGCACCCCCATGTGAATGTGCATGAGCGCGAGTGCAACACCCCCCAGCATGACACAACCTAATTTTGCCACTCTATCATGTCTAAATTTGTAATCTATGCAATCTTTGGACATTTACAGATGTGGTGTGACACAGTCTCATCTTTTTCTTGGCAGAGTTGACATTTGTTGTTAGTGCCAATTCCTTGAATCCTGGCTTTCATCACATTAGTTTGGAGTGCTTGTTCTTATGCAGCAAAAATCAAGCCTTCAGTTTATTCTTAAGGGTCCCCAATTTTAGCCATGCTCATGTTGAATTATGATCATGCTTTCCATCAATATTTCTCAGGTGTAATCCAAGTAGTGGTTTGTTTTTCCAACTGTTTAATTTATTTTCAAATTGTTGTTTCTTATATTGAGCCTTTGTTTGTTGTTTTCAAAATATTCTCCATTTTCACTGCCTTAGGTACCGTACTTTTTCTTGCCTGTACTGATATAATCATTTAGGCTTCTTTTTTCCTCCTCTACTACCTGCTGTATTTGCAGTAATGCATTTTAAAATTATTATTATCGTTGTTGTTGTTATCTCAACTTAGATAGAGCCCCACAATGCTAGGGCACTCTCTGGGCGGTTTACAGCATAATTAAACAAAGAACACTTTACTCCCCAGCGAGCTGGATTCTAATTTTACCAGCCTTGGAAGGATGGAAGAATGCCTTGTTTCTGTCAAAATTATTTCTTGTCTACAGCAGAGATAAAGCACTGTCGTTGCAGTATGGTAATTAAGCTTGATATTTGTTTGCAGTCTTTCTCTAAGCACGTTACTTGTGTTTCAACACCCATTTACACAACACAGTTTCTCCCATATATGCAAGAGGTACATTTCAGAAACACTGACTCATAATTCCATTCATTTAAAAATATAAACGCAAGGCCTGAAGGCATTTTTTAAAAGGTTCCAAGTACAGAGCACTTAATTTCCAAGGTGCAACAGCTGCTGTTCATCTGGGGGTTTCCTCTCACATCATCTCTAAATTCTGGTGGTCGGGTGGCAAAGCCTTAGTTGCTCCATCTTAGTTATGGCCCTGAAAACCGATGCTTTCAGCAGGAGATTTCCCCTCATCCTTTCACTTTCTCTCTCCAGACATTTCCAGTAAAGAGCAAGGCAGGGCCGTTGGCTGTTCTTTGACCTTGGACAGAATCATCTTGTGGCAATTTTAGTGGGATGCATTCTGGGAGGTCTCGGAAATGCCATGATGCAATACATGAAAGCACAGATTCATGAAAAATGGGAAGGAACTGTAAACTGGACACGATGTGCAGAATGATTTAATGTTACCGTCACAAGCTAATAAAAATTAATATAAACAGAATAAGGAACACACTAAGAGTTTTTAGAAAATGCGTAAAAGCCAGAAAGAAATTCCTTATTTACTCCTGTATCTGTTCCCTAATCTCTACTGAAGATAAGGAAAAAGCTAAATGCATTTACAAGATGGGGGATATTTGGCTCAGCAATACCGTGAGTCAGCCCACAAGCTTCATATGAGCCAACAGCATGAAGTGGCTGCGAGATAGGCCAAGGTGATTTTAGAACGCATGAAGAGAAGTATAGTCTCCAAGTCCCCAAGTTCAGAGGAGGGCGACAAGGATGATCAGGGGACAAGAAACCAAGCCTTCTGAGGAAAGACTGAAGGAACTGGGCATGTATAGCCTTGAGAAAAGAATCATAGAATAATGAGGTTGGAAGGGACGTCAACCCCCTTGCACAGTGCAAGAATGCAAATCAAAGGATATCTGTCAGGTGGAAATTGGTTCCACTGTCGTACTGCTCTAACAGTTAGGAAGTTTTTCCTGATATTCAATCAAAATCTGGCTTCCTTTAACATGAGCCCATTGTTGTGTGTCCTGCACTCTGGGATGATGGAGAACAGATCTTGCCCCTCCTCTGAATGACAGCCTTTCAAGAATTTGAAAAGTGCTATCAGATCTCCCCTCAGTCTTCTTTTCTCAACACTGAACATGCTCAGTGTCTTTCCTCATAAGGTTTGGTTTCCAGCCCCCTGATCATCCTTGTTCTTCTCCTCTGAACTTCTTCCAGTTTCCTGGGATCCTTCCTGAAGTGTGGGGTCCTGACGGGTGATACGACAGCACTTTTCAAATACACCTCTCCTCGTTGGGTTGGGCTAGCTGGGCCCTCATGTATTTCAAAATCCACATGTAATTTTTATGCAAAATGCATAAAGATTTGATTAATTAATACACACATCCACACACATCTTCCCCAACCCGCTTAGGCCTCCCGGCTGCCATGAGGAGCCAGTATGCCAGGAGAGGGGGCTGTCACACACCCCAAACAGGGGCCTTAGTAAGTCCGAGACCTAACCTTTCTCAGGCTATTTCCTGGAGACAAATAGCAGCACAGTCTTTGTTGAACATGGATTGGTGGAAACATCTGAATATAACCGAAACCACAATGCTCAAACTCATGCAATTCAAGGGAAATGTGTATTTTCCCTTGAATGATCATGATGTTTCATGATCCAGAGGAGGGGCAGGATCTGTTCTCCATCATCCCAGAGTGTAAGGTACATAATAATAGGCTCAAGTTATAGGAAGCTAGATTTCAGTTTAATATGAGGGGGAAGAAAACTGCTGGAGCAGTACAACAGTGGAACCAGTTACTTTGGGAAGTGGTGAGTGCTCCAACACTGGACGCATTCAGGAGAACATTGGACATGATGACCTTATAGTACAGTATAAGCCCCTTCCAACTCCATTAGTCTATGATTCTATGATGATGATGATGATGATGATCATCATCATCATCATCATCATCATAAGAGCTGTGTTAGAGATTCCATATATAAAATTTTGAGGAGGTGGACTGATTTTTAAAATTATTTTCTGATATGACTTAGGGCAGTGGTTCTTAACCTTTGTTACTCAGGTGTTTTTGAACTGCAACTCCCAGAAACCCCAGTCAGGACAGCTGGTGGTGAAGGCTTCTGGGAGTTGCAGTCCAAAACTCCTGAGTAACCCAAGGTTAAGAACCAGTGACTTAGGGCAATCAAAGAACTGGCCTTCTGCACTGTTTACAACCCCAGGACACAGAGCTAGCTTGTGGCATTCTGCTGCCTGAGGCAAACGATGAATCATCATCATCATTATTTTAAATTTTCAAAACAAATGCAAAGAAGAAGCTGTTGGACATTATAGAACTGGATACACTATCAGAAGCGGTATGAGATCAACCAAGAGACTATGCAAAACAAAGTTGGAACTTAATACATGCTTGGGCCCAGGGTCAGACTTGAAGACAGGGCAAAATGATTGATGGGCTTTGTTTTTTTTAGTTTTGTTTTGCTTTTTTCAATGCTCTCTGGAGTTTGGGGAAGTTGGAATATAATGAGGTCTGAATCCGTGTCCTCAAAGGGGGGAGGGTTTGGGGGAGTCTGTATTGTATTTTAGATATGTGTTTGTAGTTGAAATAAAATTTTAAAACTAAAAAAAAAGAGAAAAAGAAAAAAATCATCATCATCATTATTTTAAATTTTCAAAACAAATACAAAAATACAAAACACTGACTATACATTCTAAACCAGTGGTTCTTAACCTTTGTTACTCGGATGTTTTTGAACTGCAACCCCCAGAAACCCCATCCAGCACAGTTGGTGGTGAAGGCTTCTGGGAGTTGCAGTCAAAAACTCCTGAGTAACCCAAGGTTAAGAACCAGTGTTCTAAGCCACCGTGCACCCCATACCCACGGGACCTTACACGGCTCTTCGTCAGCCAGCAAACCCTACGTACCTCTGCACTGAGCCACGTTGGTACGGGTTCCACTGGAGGAAAACATCGGTGTCCACTTTCCATCTGACTGGCAGATCCGGCTTCGCGTGGGATACGGATAGGTACCGGGTGGGCAGGAATAGGCAAGGATGCTTCCAGAGCGATACCCGTCGGAGAGTGAGAAGGTGCCACCTCGGATAGACAGGTCTTTCGGACAGGATGGTGTTTCATCAGGGGTTGATTCCTGTACAGCAGTGGCTGCAATGGGCAGAGACAGGTGTTACGTGCTTAGGGTTTACACTTCAATCTCTTCAGCATCTTGGCCTGTTCTTGTTGCTCTGTTTCACAGCTTTGGGAAAACATATGCAGCCAGAGTAGCTTTCCCCTATCAGACACTGGCCAAAAATCGAGTGATCCGATTGCAGAGGTAAGAACATATGGCCCATCAGACACTGGCCAAAAATCGAGTGATCCAATACCAGAGGTAAGGAACATGTGGCCTTATAGTGGTTACTGAATGACAACCTCTACCCTCCTTCTCCATTCATTGTGCCTAGGATTGCATGTTATGTGCCATAAAGTCACACCTGATCCATAGAAAACCCTAACATGCCTTTCATGGTATGTTAGATACGTATGGTGTGTTTTTTGTTGCAGAGTTTTGAATTTCTGGTTAAGATTGTCTAGCAGTACAGAGCAGAATAGCTTCAAGTTCCCCAGACTAGTCCACCCCTTGTTACAGTCTCAATAACTCACTCTGAGATATTAGTAGTGGAAAGAATTAAAAACACATTTTCTTTACTTACAAATCAACAGATCAAACAGCAAACTGACAAACATGACTGCTTTCAGCAACAGACTTCAACAGACTAAAGAGAATGGAAAAGACACAGAGCAGAAAGACTTGGCTCTCTTTGAAATTAGAAGCAAGGAAAGAATGATTGGTTAGTGCTAGATAGATTGAAAGTCACTCCAGCCCAAAAAAGGTCTCTCCCAGCTAAACCTACTAAAGGCAGCATGCGAGTCTGCAAAACTTCCAACACTTCTTACTACTTCTGCTCCCCAGTGAGTTTCCATGGCCAAGTAGAGATTTGAACTCTGGTGTCCTGAATCCTAGTCTGTTGCTCTATTCACTGCACCACCGTGGCTCTCATATCCGGGATTAAATGTCATTGAATTCAAAATCATGTCGTCATTTAGTCGTGTCCGACTCTTCGTGACCCCAAAATCATGTACAGTACTTCTGGGTAATTATTCAGTTCCACCTTTTAGAGCATTTTCATCTTCGCCATTAAGGACTAGTCAACACATACAGTACAACTGAAAAGAACCAAAGTAAGTTAATTAGTTGCTTCAGGCAAAAGATGCGGGGAAGGGGGAAGCAGGAGTAGGAGTGTGAAGCTGGGTGCACCCCTTGGACATCCCTGAACCTCATAAGATGTCCTGATTACACATGGTTGTAGTGAAGGAAGTTGTCCTGTCACCAGGGCTAAACTGACAATCTCACTTCTTGCAGAGGATAGAAGTAAAATGTTACAAGTAAGTTATGGAATAGAAGTAGAAGCGATGCATGACAAGTGGCCAGCAATAGAGAATACCATTTCAGTGGGACTCCCTTATTCACTGGATCAGTATCCTCTGATTCATTCATCCACACTCTGAAAATATTAAAAATATCAAAAGAAATATTCTAGAAATACTGTAGATTTTTCTTAATATGAAGTTACCAGAACTGGCCAACAGAGGGAGTCAGAGGCCATGCTAGATTTTTCTTAATATGAAGTTACCAGAAATGGCCAACACAGGGAGTCAGAGGCCATGTGATATATAGCGTTAGCTATTAAAGAAGCGTTTGCAATAATCTGCGTTTTTCAGCATCCGTTGGGGAGCTTGAAACTGATCGCCTATGGATATGAGACTCCTACTGTATTTACTTCTTGTTAACACAATAACCAATGGCATTATAAGTAACTGTGTTATCTTTAACATGTTACATTGAAGGATTGTGAGGGTAACAACAGTCCTTTGGAAATGAACCTAACAATGGCTAATACTGTTAATTTTATTATGGTGACCATGTTAACTCCAATTGCAGGGGTGCTGTGAATCCGTTCCAGTTTTTACTTTGTCCTTTGCTCTCCATCGAACTGGGCTCTATACCTGGTGTGTGTGGCCATCCTTCAGTCTTGAGACACTATGGTAACGTGCTCTGTATGGAGGTCTTGGAACAGTGTCTAGTGTGGCTGAGAAGGCCAATTCGAGAGTGACAATCCCTTCCACAATGAAGACAAATACAATTGTTCCCAGTCCAGCTCCCTGGTTTTGCTGGTTTTGGGACTGCCTCTTTGCCTCAGCCTGCTGTACAAGTGTCTCTTCAAATTGGGAGAGGCCATGATGCATCGCCTGCCTCCAGGCTGAACGCTCAGACGTCAAGATTTCCCATCTGTTGAGGTCCGTTCCTAAGGCCTTCAGATCCCACTTGCAGATATCCTTGTATGGCAGCCGTACTCTACCTCTGGAGCACTTTCCCTGCACTAATTCTCCATACAGGAGATCTTTTGGAATCCGACCATCAGCCATTCTCACGACATGCCCAAGCCAACATAGACGTCACTGTTTCAGTAATGTATACATGCTAAAAATTCCAGCTCATTCCAGGACTACTCTATTTGGGACTTTGTCCTGCCAGGTGATACCAAAAATGCGTCGGGGACAACGCATATGGAACGTGCTCAGCTTCCTCTCCTGCCGTGCACAAAGGGTCCAGGACTCACTACAGTACAGGAGCGTGCTTACGACACAGGCTCTATAGACCTGGATCTTTGTATGTGTTGTCAGCTTCTTATTGAGCCATACTCTCTTTGTGAGTCTAGAGAACATGGTGGCTGCTTTGCCAATGCGTTTATCCAGCT